ATTCCCTGTAAATAAAAATGTAAGAACATGGATATGAAGCCAGGGATAGGGTTGTTCAAAGATATTTTACACAATAATTATTTAATTTATTAAAATATTTTATAATGCATTTTTTATCTTATACTCAAGAGAGCCAATATTTTTTATACATAAAGAATAATTGTACAAAAACAAATGTAAATAACAATTGCACAGAGATTAGAAATAAAATATTAAAAACAAAATATACAACTATATTGCACATAAGATTTTTAAAATGTGACAATCCAGTTTTAAATAAATCTACTAAAATAAATTGCACAAAATGGACCTCAGTCAATAGCATTTTGTAACTTTTTGTTTTAATAAAGCACTTATTATTATGAATAAAACTGATATTGCGAATATATTGTTAAAATAACAGTAAAGTCTCAAATATAAATACTAAACTGAATAGAACTAATAATCTAAAGTTAAATACATTGCACAGTTTAAGGCAAAATATTTTATATTACGATTTTTCTTTTTAAAAAGGACTTAGTTTGTGTTAACATTGCCATACTCTTTTGGTGAAGTGTATTACACGGCTCAACAAAAACATTTTCATTTTTTGTCCTAAAGTTTATTTTATGATTTTCTGGTAAATTAGTCACAAAAACGATAAAAAAATACCTTTTTTCTAGATAAAGTTTGCTTTTGTGATAACTGTTGAGTTTTTATAGAAATTTAAATTAATTCTGATACATTCAAAAATCCCGCGACATAAAAGTGGGGTTTTTACATTCACACAGTGCCTCTAGATGGCACTTAAGTGATAAATAACAATCAGATGTATTGTACAAGTTTAGAAAATGTTAAAATGTCGTCGAAAAAGTGTAAACATGATGCTGATGCGTTATGTTATATATGAAGGGTACAGGGGAAAAACGGGCTAAGTCAGTTTTTAGCGAAATTGAGATATTAACGTCATCCGATAGAAAATATGTTAAATTTTGTTCTAAAAATACCTCCCACGTCAAGAATAGGATAAGTCAGAAGATATCGAATAAGAAAAATATCCGGTACAGGGGAAAAACGTGATAAGTCCGTGCGGTACCGAGCAAAAACGGGCTAAGTCGTGTTTATACTTGTCCATTCGGTAACGTTGTGATCGCCATTTTAATTGTTTTCGTGCAGATTTGCCAGTGTTCTTCATGTTTTTCATTGGTAAACATTGTTAGGAACATTGTTCTATCATGGAAAGTGACTCAAGTAATTGTGAAAGTGTACAAGTGATATCTTCTACAAAAAAGAGACCAAAACATGGACGATTAACAGATGTGAATAATAAATTGAAAGTACAAAGCCATGAAATTGGTAAATAATGCGATTGTAAACGTTTACAGTGCTCCAAAAAGATTCCTGCGGAGGGTAAGCGAGATATTATAAAGAATTTTAATCTTTTAGAGTCTACTGATAAGCAAAACTCCTATTTATGTGAACTCATTAGTATTGTCCCAGTCAAAAATAGACGACCTCGGGTAGATGAAGAAAATGCTTGTTTAAGAGATGTAGCTCTGTATAAGATTAGGTATTTACATGAAAATAAGCTTAATGAATTAGAAATTTGTCGAGATGAGTTTATAGCAATACACGGCATTACAAAACGTCGAATTGAGTATTTACTCACATCTTTAAAAAAATACTGGCATTTCTCCAATTGATAAAAGAGGAAAACACTCAAAAATGCCATTAAAACTGTCTGATGTTACTCGTAATAAAATTAAAGAGCATATATCTTCATTTAAAAGCAGAGGCAGTCATTATAGTACTAAAGACACTCAGAAGAAATATTTGCCTGAAGAGCTAAACATTAAAAAAATGTGGGAAATGTTTAAAAATATGCATCCCATCAATGAAGTATCCTACGAAACCTACAGGACCATTTTCACCACAGATTTTAATATAGCTTTTGGTTACCCACGAACAGACACGTGCAGCACATGTGATGAGTACCTAGCTAAAATAAAATGTCTCGAGCATGAAAAACAAAATGCAAGCAATGAAAACCCTGTATACACGTCTCCAAATAAAAATCAAAAAATAGGTCGAACTAAGGAAGATATAACAGCTGAAATAAAACAACTGACCACATTACATGACCTGCATTTATGTAAAGCAAAATCATTTTATTCAATTAAAAAGCAATCAAAGCTTTCAAGTCGCAAATCAAACGTTAAAGAGTCAGTCTGTATAGACTTTGGTAAAAATTTTCCTCTCCCCAAAATTCCTACTAATGATGTATACTACAAAAGGCAGTTGTCCATTTATATGTTTAACGTACACGTTCTGTCTGACTCAAGAAGTGTTTTTTATGTATACCCAGAAACTATTGCCAAAAAAGGTAGTGATGATGTTTCTTCTCTAATGAATCATTTTGTGTATAATTACCTTAATTCAGACATAAGAAACTTGGATTTGTTTTGTGACTCCTGCGGTGGGCAAAATAAGAATTACACTTTTTTCCGCTACTTACATTTTATCTCAAAACCATAAAATTTGACTTGGCCCGTTTTTCCCCTGCACCCTTCATATGTGGTCAATTTATCAAAGTGCGTGACATAAAATGAGTTGAAGGCATGTCACGTTATCTGTAAAGCCTACAAAGCATATTTCAACTTACCTGTTAGGAACCAAGACAAGCCATGGGCTCCGCATGTCGCATGTAGTACTTGTAAAAGGTCTTTGGAAGGTGAGTAATTTTTAAGCGATGACAAAATACTATAAACACATTAATTTTTATATCCATTTATATTAGGTTGGTATCAAGGTGAGAGGAGGTCTATGAAATTCGCAGTACCAAGAATTTGGTGAGAACCAAAAGACCACATTAATGACTGCTTTTTTTGCATTGTCAATCCACGTAAAAGACGTAGTGGCAAAAATGCAAAATCTATTGAATATCCTGACCTTGATTCTTCTTCTGCTCCGATTGTACATAGCGTGACACTTCCAGTATCTGAATCTCCGATGAAGTTGTCTCAAAAAAGCTCATCTTACAGCTCCAATAGAAGTGGTTCAGATAAAGAATTTTTACCTACACCTGAACAACCAAAACACCATCTTATTTCTTCAGAAGATTTTAACGATTTAATTCAAAATTTAAATCTGCCAAAAAGTAAAGCAGAGCTTTTGGGTTCTCGTTTAAAACAGTGGAATTTACTGATTGATGTCAATATCACGGACCACCGAACTCGGCATGAAATATTTTCATCATTTTTTACGAAAGAAGATGTTTTTGTAATGACATAAAAGGTATGTTTGAAAAAATTGGAATTCCCAGTGTTCCTAGTGAATGACGTTTATTTATCGACAGCTCTACAAAAAGCCTGAAAGCTGTTTTGTTACACAACGGGAATGAATTTCCATCTCTTCCAATCGCCCACTCGGTACATTTAAAAGAAAATTATGAAAGTATTAAAATCTTACTAAAATCTGTGAAGTATCACGAATATAACTGGCAGCTGATTGAAGACTTTAAAATGGTAGGATTTCTAATGGGACTACAGGGTGGATATACAAAATATCCGTGTTATTTGTGTTTATGGGACAGCAGAGCAGATGCTCAACATTATACTCAAGGATCATGGCCTGTAAGAAAACAATTTTGTGTCGGAGAACAGAACGTAAAATTCGAGTAGATTGTTGAAGCAGAAAAAGTGTTAATGCCGCCTTTGCATATTAAGCTAGGGTTGATGAAACAATTTGTGAAGAAACTGAATAAAAAATCGAAAGCTTTTGAATATTTAAAAAAAAATTAACAGACGATCACGAATATCCCAACAATTTTCAAAAAATGAAGGTTAAGTATGCTACACAAGTGTTCAGCCATTCAGTAGCAGTCGATTTCATCGATTTCAAAATTTGGCCCATTAAAGTCAAAATAACAGCCAATCTCATTCATAAAATGAACAATTTATTTAACATGCTGATTTCTTGTCATCTTCATAATTTTAATGCATTTATGGGCACTGAAAAACAGATACAATTTCTCAAAGAGATGATAACTATTTGATCATCTGACCGTTGTGAACAACAGCGAAAAATCACTTACCAACCAAATGAAATTCATATTTGTCTTTGTTTACCGTTTATTTATCTATGGTTTTAGAATTATTCAATTTTTTTTTTTTTATGTTCTAAAAACACAAAAAAATAGGTTTGTATTTTGTTCATGTAATCATACAAACAAAAACAATTGTTAAATGTTTAATTTTCCAAATAATATTAAATTGATAAAAAAAAATGGGAGAAATAAATAAATCATCGTTTAATAAAATAAACTTCAACAGAAGGGGAGATAAATTTGCCAATACATTTTCATTAATATGTTCATATCATTTTAAAAACTGGGATAAAATTAATGTATCGTTCTTATTTAAACGGAGCGGAAAAGCAGTTTTCTTTTTCATGCCCGAGGGAAACAAAATGAAAAATGTGTTAATCCAAAGTTTGTAATTATATATAAATTACATAAAATTATTTTCAGAATCCCCCGGGACTTGTAACACTCAATATGCCCCAAAGCCTACAATCACCCCTGGGGTTCAATTCCTGACGGTCTACGTTAACTTGTCGCATGCGTTACCGTATGCGCCTTCTCAAAATGTATTCTTGACGATCGGCAACCCTTACGTTTCGTTGTCGCATACGCCACGAAACGCATGATGGAAAAGGGAGGTCTTGACCGTGCGACAACAGTGTACCGTATACGTTAGAGTGGTTTTTAGCCCAATAGCCCTCTTCATCGAGACCATTCTAGATAGAAGTTTAATGTTTAAAGTGCTCATTTTGTTTTTTATAAGTAGTATCCATATCCATAGAAAAAATAATAAATAGTATTCGTATAAGATTTAGTTAGTGTAGTGTAATATAAGATTAGTTACTAGTTTAGTGTCATTAATAGTGACACTATGAACATTATAGACGAAAAATGAGGTTTCCGAATTAGTGAGCAGCAACGTATGGCGTTAATCAGCTATATGGCTGATCATCCACAATTGCTAAGTGGTAAATTTACTCAAAATTTTACTGCTTCTTCAGCTAAAAGTATGTGGAAGGAGCTGGAATCCGAATTGAATTCGATGGCGGGCGCAAAGAAAGATTGGCAGCAGTGGCGAAAAGTAAGTTCATTTAATAATCCATTTTAACTGATAAATAAAATATATTTTTAAATTTTAGTCCTGGCATGACATGAAGACCAAAGTCAAATCAAAAAATGCCAAAATTAAAAATCACCGAAGGGGCACTGGTGGTGGAGCACCACTGGGAGATGTGTTAACAAACTGGGAAGAGAGTATTTTTAATTTGATTCAGTGTTTAAGGAAGTTGACGTTTAGGGATTAAAACACTTTTAAAGAAGATGTAGACAAATATTTGGAGTAAGTGGTACGAATTTGACACTTCTATTTATAAGAAAATGAGCATTATAACAATGGACAACGAAATTGACTGGAATGAACTACAAGATCTGTGTGATTCTTTAAACGTGCCAATAAATGAGGATACATTAGGTTTGTTTTCACATCAAATCACAAACTTGTTTCTTACAATTTTCAAACCATTCTTGTGCGCATGTCAGGCTGGAAACAAATTCGAAACTAGTTTCTGATTGATGTGAAAACAGTGAATAAATGTTTAATGGGTGGCCTAGAATAATTTGAAATTACAGCCAAATTAATTTCTAAACAAAAAAGAATAAGTAGAAAAACTGATGTACAGTCCTGACAGCTTAGGCCGTTAAGCTAAATAAAAGAAGAAATATTTAGGTTAGTTTTCAGTTTGTTTCATTATTTGAATTTGGATTGATTTTGGATTAATTTAAGGAACTCTTGATTTAAATATGAATTTAAATCCCATTAGTATTATCAGTAAGTATTTAATATTTATTTTATATATTTACATTGTTATACTAACCATGTATTTTTTTATGTAGTCCAAGAAGAGTTGACTGATTCTTCAGCAGTTTGGACTTGGACAACAAACAATACAAAATGTCTCTTGGACCACAATGTGAAAATAAGTGGAGAGTGCTAGAAAGGGCCTATAAAAAACATGTTGATAATCAAAACAAAACAGGTCAAGGACGAAAATTTTTTAAATTCCTCGAAGAGATGGATAATATTTTCAAGGGAAAAAGAATTATATTACTATCAAGTGCTACTGTAAATAATCCAAAAGCTGTGGAAATGTTGGTTTAGAAAGATGATTCTGAAACTAATGTGTCCAAACCATCCAGTTCAAAGCAAATGCCAATATTAAAAACAAACAAAATAACCAGAGATTCGCGATTGTGACCTGAACGAGTTAAGTTCGCTCTGTATCGCCGCGATAAATTTTGTCTTTCACCGCGAATGTACTAACTGTTTATTAATAATTTTCGCACTGACGAATAAACTAAACATCGTGCATCGCAACATTTTGTGCTTTCGGTGACTGGTGATGTGTTAGCTCCACTAATTGCGTTACATGCAAATAATAACAGTTCTGTATATAAGTTTTTTGTATCTTTTATCTACATCTGATAGTGATAACGATAACGAGCATAAAACCAGTACTTAGGATAGCGCTGTTTCTAGAATTTTATTTCGGCAACCAGTTCTACACTATGCCGTATGGCTGGTTGCCTTCTTCCTAAGCCAACAAAACTTTAACCAATAACACATCTGTTGCTTTTGACTACAAGGGCATCACAATGAGTTCTTCTACAGCAAATGACACCCCAAATTTAGGAAATAATTATGCATCTCCTAGTTCATATGTGGCCGCTGCCAAGTCAATTTCAAAACCGTCTTTTCCAAAGAAAGAGCAAGCTATAGTTTTTCACACAGAAGATAATCTAAAACTGGTCGATTATGTTAAATCAATCGGAGACATTGTAGGTCCAAAGAATATCAGTTTCGCATCTAGAATATCCAACAACAGAATTAGCATATACCTAAATAAAATTGAACTAGTGGACCATTTAATTAAAAATAATCCCATCATTCACATCGGTGATTTGGACCTAGCTATAAGACGGTTAGTAACACCAGCAAAGAGGGTTTTGATTTCAAATGTGTGCCCTTCTATCCCTCACGACTTAATCCGAGCAGCTCTAGAAAACTACGGTTTACAACTTACTTCACAAATATCTTTTCTGAGAGCTGGAATCCCAGGAGATGAATACAGCCACATTCTCTCGTTCAGAAGACAAGTATATATTGTTCCACCTTCAGATGACTACGAACTCCAAACTTCGCTAGTTATCGCCTTTGAGAATAATGCTCACAGAATTTTCCTGTCCACTGATAAAATGGAATGCTTCCTCTGTAAGCAATCTGGCCATATTGCAAGCCTTTGTCCAACCGCTCAACCTCCCCCCTTCCCAAACAACTGCCCCTTTCCCTGCCATACCCCCCTCTTTACACCCACCTAAGCCAGCTGAATCAGAATTAACTCACTCAAACAGAACTCGCAGCCCCCTCTCCAAATTCCATTGAAGCAACTACATCCAAAACTCAGATTCATCCAACACCCGCACAAAAAAGAACCTGTCCCAGCTCAGCAGATTCAAATGAGAGCATTCCTCTTCCCGAGGATCTTTCAAATACTCTAACTAATCCAGGTATCATGCCTCCTCCGGATCCACCCTCAGAAACAACTCCCAAACCTATCACAAAGAAAAGGAAAAAGGACACATCTGAAGATTTTAAGCTGTCAGAATCCACAAAGAAACTTATTTTAGACATCTACAGTAAATCACAAGATACATTTACTATTACAGCCCAAAACTTCATAGCTCTTCTCGAAAAGTCTTTTGGCAGCTCCAGTCCCCTATCAGAAGCTCAACGGTTCACTACAGATGTTCAATCATTACTTTCCGATTTATACACCATCTATCCTTCCTTAGATGAAAGATCCATTAAGAACCGATTAACAAGACTTAGCAAAAAGTTAAGAAGAGAACTAAAAATAGAGGAATCAGACGCTGAAAGTCTAGCATCTGTCATCTCTTGACCCTCCTGACGACGACGTTCTTTCAGATAACTCCCAACTATCACAAAAATCTTCATTAACTTTCTCTCTCATTCAGTGGAATTGCGATGGATTCTATCCTCGCCTTGAACGAATCCAACAATTAATCCATACTCTAAATGCTAATATTATATGCCTACAAGAAACCAACTTTACTGAATCTCACAAACGTCACCTTAAAGGCTTCGAAGGTTACCACCATATCAGGACTGAATGTCAAAGAGCCAGTGGCGGAACATCTGTATTTGTTTCAAAAGACTTCTATTCGTCAGCTCATATCTTAAATACATCTTTAGAAGTAGTAGCAGCTTCTGTATGGTGTCCATTTAAAATTACTATTTGCAGTATTTATATTTCGCCGAATTCCTCAGTTTCCGAAGCCGAACTAATAAATCTTTTCTCTCAGCTAACCCCCCCTTTCATTATTACTGGTGACTTCAATGCCCACAACTCCTTATGGGGCTCACACAAAACATTCGGCAAAGGATAAATCATCGAAAACGTATATAAAAACGCAGACCTTTGTCTCTTAAACAATGGCTCAAGCACTCACTTCAACCTTTCATCTCACACATTCTCCGCAATTTACCTCAGTTTCTGTGACCCACAAATATTTCCCCTACTCACGTGGAACCCATTAGATGATCTCCATGATAGCAATCATTTTCCTATCTACATTACAGACAACGCTGACAAACCATCTGAAAATATAACGAAGTGGAAAATAACTCATGCCAAATGGGACGCCTTCAGATCATGTGTAGAAAATCAAACTGATGAGTTAAATTTTCCAGAAAATACTGACGCAGCCGTCTCCGCTTTTAAATCCTGTATTATTATCGCTGCTGAACAACACGTCGGAAAAACTGTGATATCTCCTTCACGAAAAATTGTTCCCTGGTGGAATGAAAATTGTAAATCTGCGGTGCGAGAAAGTAAAACGGCATTAAACAGATTTAGGAGAACAAGGAACGAAAATGACTTCATTGAGTTCAAAAAACTTAGAGCCAGGACCAAAAGAATAATAAAGCAAAGTAAAAAAGACAGTTGGAATAGCTACGTTTCGTCCATAACACCTGACACTCCTCCAAACCAGGTTTGGACTAAAATTGGACAAATGCAGGGAAAAAGGACCTTCACAAAAATATCAGCAATTAGTCAACAAGACCATATCGTCACAGACAATCAAGAAATAGTTAATATTTTAGCTTCTTCCCTGCTAGATAAATCTAAAAATACAAACCAAGTTGATCCTTACAGCTTTGACACACTCAGACATCCCATGCCTCCCAATATCGGTCATGACCTAGATGCTCTAAATTCTCTCTTAACTTTTCAAGAACTTTCTGTAGCTGTCATCCACCAAAGTCTCCGCTGCAGGACCCGACAATATTCCTTCCATTTTCCTTAAAAATATATCCTCCAATAGCCTTTACAAACTTTTAGATCTTTACAATTTGATCTGGACCAAAAGAAACTTCCCTAAAGTGTGGCAGGAATCAGTGATACTTCCCATCAAAAAACCTGGCAAAGATCCTAGCAATCCTAACTCCTACAGGCCTATCGCATTAACATGTAACCTGTGCAAACTACTGGAGAAGATGGTTTCTAAGCGGCTCATGTGGTACCTGGAAAAACATAACATTCTCTCTTCTGCTCAATCGGGATTTAGACCTGAATGCTGCACTGTAGACAACTTACTGGTACTTCAAACACACATAATTAATGCCTTTAATGAAAACCAAGAAGTCATAGCAGCGCAACATTTGACATAGAGGGTGCATTTGACTCCCTCCCACACTCAGTTATACTGAAAACTTTGGCAGATATCCACATCAAAGGAAACATGTTCTTTCATTAAAAATTTTATAACAGAACGACGCTTCAGAGTTACAGCCAACAGAAAGATGTCTAACACACTAACTCAGGAAAATGGCGTACCTCAAGGATCGGTGTTGAGCCCAACACTGTTCATCCTTTCCATCAACGAGGTTTGCAAAATAATTCAACCTCCTACGGGTTTTGCTCTTTATGCTGACGATCTGTTCATCTTTTGCCACGGAAGGAATACCATCACTACAGCCCACATTATTCAAAAAACAGTTGACGCTCTTCACGAATGGTCTACCACAACAGGCTTCCACTTCTCTGCTACAAAGTCCAAAGTCATTAAGTTCTCCAGAAGAAGAAATAATCAGTTTACTCCAAATATCACGTTAAACAATATTAGCATTCCCTCCGCCGACCAAATTGTAATTCTAGGGATCGTCTTCGATAAGAAGCTCAGCTGGAAAGAGCACATTAAACAGATTAAGGACAACTGTCTAGGT